TCAAAAGCTCACATAACCTGGAAAATGATGATGAACAAACCAAAGCATGCACAACAAAGTTAGCATTTTAATCAAATCAACAAAGTTAGCATCTTAATCAAATCAACAAAGTATATGACAATGGTGTGTTCTACAAACAGAGGAGTGACGCATCAGGCGATTCAACAAACAGGTCTAACCTACCAAATGTTCCCATTACACGTGTAGTTACGTGTGTGTTTGAATTTAATGCTCACTATATTCTAAAACCCTCCAACACTCAAAATAACAATCATTCTCCATAAACACAGTAATCGCAACATAAAAATTCCACATCAACCATCATATCTACTCTTCTACAAGCAAATTCTGAATCCTAGTATCTATTCAAATAAAACAGGTCCATAGTATTTTCATAATTGGAACAACAAAATGAATTTGCCACACTAATAATAATCCATGTCTTTCGAACAACATTAGTTGTTATTGAATGGCATATCATCCAGCCATCAGAAGATTGTGGATAGAAGTTTTAGCACAACATGGCTGAATTCAACGTAAACACTATCCATTAGACAAATTAGAGTATTCTAAAAAGTAGTCTAATATTATTTTGTACAAGTTGAACATCAAAATGTAAGTTGACTTTAAAACTTATACCTTTTAACAAAGAAGTCACAATTCCGGAATCCATATTTTTATCGTAGGGGGCCTTTGTAATTTCGGACAATCGATGATGCTCACTTTGGGTGAAGATCCACAAAGTATACTCCCTATGCAAACTGTATTCAATTGCGGTAATGTCGACAATGTCAAACTTGGGAAGTGCAATGTTGGTAGAGTCATCGTCATCACTATTGTTCCCCATAAATATCTCTAGCATTGAATCACAATTTTTTTACCATTAACTTCTCCAGGTTTTGAAGTTGTTGAACTAACAGCGATGTCAACAACCTCTTTACCAAATGACATTCAGGAATATAAAACTCTGTTAGAAAAGAGAATATGCCCCTCTGTGACAAAGATTGTCTACCAACGTTATCTTTACATACATCCACTAAACCTGCTAAATTATTGGTACAAAATGAACAATAACCTAATAAACAAAAGAGGTTATTCAATCGTAGGCAATTATGAAGTCCTATTCTGCTCAAAGAAGAAGAGCGGTTATACGACAAAGCATTGCATAAGCAAACCAAATGGTTATTTTCATCTATATTCAGACAAGTAAGATCTTTCGGCAGTGTGTGGAGCTGAGGGCAGTCTCCAAATTGAAGAGCCTTATTACCAGAGTAGTCTGGAAAAATACTAGTAAAGTTGATCAAATATCTTTTATTACTAAAAGCATTTCCAAAAATGAGATGATATGTGTTGAGCCCATAAATCATGTCAACCATGTTTTGTGCATGGTAATATTTGCAGTCAAAGGTCCCTCCAAAACATTCTAGCATTTCCATCCCTTTGAACATCTTCCATGGTAACCATGGCTGAGATTCATAGGAGATTGTGGTATTGCATTTTTGTCAAGTTGGATAAAAATGACATCGATTTGGATGATGTTTGAAAATACATCGATTTGGACAAGATGGGAATTCATCCGAGAGTAAACGGCCTTAAAGTGATTATAACAACTCGTTTGAAACATCTTTGTCAACAAATGAGTTGTCTACCCGATCACATAATAAGCGTTATACCTCTCAGTTTCCTTAAAATTAAAAGATGTGATGAAGATTGGGAGTTGTTTATACTAGAGCTCGGAGATTGTGGAACACCCAAGACACTTCCACTTAAATATTGCAAGTTGTATTGTAAAGAGATGTGAGTGATGGCGAGAACCATGAAAGGGATTGATGATATTCATCAATGGAGACATACATTTAATAAGAAAAAAAATTGGAAATGGGACAAGATATGGTAGAAGAAGTCTACAGAGTATTAGCAAGCAGTTATGATAATTTGATGGAAAACAACTTGCAAGACTGTTTTTTTGTATGTTGCACTCTTGTCTTCTACTTATGACTGTGACAAAGATGAATTAATCATGAAGCTAGTAGACAATAGTGTGATAAATGGAACTCGTTGTTTGAATGAGATATTTGATGAAGGAAATACCTTATTGAACAAACTTGAAAGTCATTCTTTGATATCTTCTCATGGTAAAAATGCTCTAGTAAACTCTTTCTCAAAAAATTTCACTAGAGCATTTTTCTGCCTCCCTTTCAAGATGAAACATGCAAATGCTCTAGTAAACTCTCTCTCAAAAAATTTCACTAGAGCATTTTTCTGCCTCTCTTTCAAGATGAAACATGCAATGTCTATCAGCAAGATGTGCGTGAATACACAACAACCATGAGAAAACAACCATGGGAAGATATCAAAGAATGACTTTTAAGTTTGTTCAATAAGGTATTTCCTTCGTCAAATATCTCATTCAAACAACGAGTTCCATTTATCACACTATTGTCTACTAGCTTCATGATCAATTCATCTTTGTCACAGTCATAAGTAGAAGACAAGTGCAACATACAAAAAACAGTGTTGCAAGTTGTTTTCCATTAAATTATCATAACTGCGTCCTAATACTCTGTAGACTTCTTCTACCATATCTTGTCCCATTTCCATTTTTTTTGCTTTGCTTATTAAATGTATGCCTTCATCGATGAATATCATCAATCCCTTTCATGGTTCTAGCCATCACACAAATTCCAAGCGGTAAGCCCTCACATCTCTTTACAATACAACTTGCAATACTTAAGTGGAAGTGTCTTGGGTGTTCTACAATGTCAGAGCTTTAGTATAAACAACTCCTAATCTTCATCACATCTTTTAACTTTACGGAAACTGAGAGGTATAACGGTTATTATGTGATCGGGTAGAAAACTCATTTGTTGACAAAGATGTTTCAAACGAGTTGTTATAATCACTTTAAGGCCGTTTACTCTCGGATGAATTCCCACCTTGTCCAAATCGATGTATTTCCAAACATCATCCAAATCGATGTCATTTTATCCAACTTTACAAAAATGCAATACCTGAATCTCTCCTATGTATCTCAGTTGTGGTTACCATGGAAGATGTTCAAAGGAATGAAAATGCTGGAATGTTTTGGAGAGACCTTTGACTGCAAATATCACCATGCACAAAACATGGTTGACATGATTTTTGGGCTCAACACATATCATCTCATTTTTGGAAATGCTTTTAGTAATAAAAGATATTTGATCAACTTCACTGACTTTACTAGTATTTTTCCAGGCTACTTTGGTAATAAGACTCTTCAATTTGGAGACTGCCATCGGCTCCACACACTGCCGAAATTTGGTTTGCTTATGCAATGCTTTGTCGTATAACCGCTCTTTTTCTTTGACCAGAATAGGGCTTCATAATTGCCTATGATTGAATAGCCTCTTTTGTTTATTGGGTTATTGTTCCTTTTGCACCAATATTCACAAACTCAAAGTTCTGAATATTGGAAATTTAGCAAGTTTAGTGGATGTATATAAAGATAACGTCGGTAGACAATCTTTGTCACAGAGGGGCATATTCTCTTTTCTAAGAGAGTTTTATATTACTGAATGTCATTTGGTAAAGAGGTTGTTGACACCACTATTCTTCTGCTCTAATTTTCTCATCCTCTTCGTCGAGCTTCAAACCTATTCTTTTTGCAATATCGCTTTGCAGGTTAGAGATGCTAAAATTAGGGGAAATGGTGACCCAAAACACATTTCCAAGTATGCCAATGACAAGCCTCATGACAAACTCAATCTCATCCTCATAACCTGTTCCACTGTTTTTGTTTGTGATGTTACTAAAAGCTTAATCGTATATGCATTTGTGTTAAAAAATGTGTTATTAAAAGCTTAACATAACCAGTTGGCAAGGTGAGGATTGCCCTCAATTATAAAGACATGTTCATGTCATATATTGTCAGATGTGGGTCACCCACTATTTATTTTCACGCTCTAATTGTCTAGTCCAGAGCGTGAGAGGGTGTGTTAAGAGTTCCACATCGGATAATATACGGTACGAACATAGGGCAATTCTCGCCTTACTAACTAGTTTTCTAGGGTTTAGTTAGACCCAATCACATTTTTTAACAAATTGAATGTTTCTAAAATCTAAATAGAAATTACTTGGCACAGCTGTAATATTGTTGTGAACTTCTTCTGCATTGGGAGGATTGGGACGATATTTGGGGCAACGAGTCAGGTGTTTTTCAATCCTACCAACCCTTCCGGTACGCGTTTTTTTACAATAATTGCACACCCATTTTGTACCATTTGCAACTCTGTTGACATGACTCCACCACTGCATGTCTCTTTGTCGCGGCATGATTAATACTTTTCCTAAGCATAGATTGAAGGTTAAATTCAACTAAATGTATAGGCAAGATCAATAACTTAAAGCCGCAAATCGTACGAAAAGAAAATATCGTGCGCGCAACGACGAAAATCAAAGGGCATACAATAATCACAATCGAACACGCATTTACTCGAATCAAAGAAAAACGTAATCACAATCGACACATTTATTCGAATCAAAGAAAAAAGCAAACAACACGACATGATATCGCACGCAATCACATAATACAGAATGCGGATAGAATCGAAATGCAAACAAAAGATAATACACATACATGAAACAATAACCGAGGTAAGTATCTCGCAAGGGATCAAGACTCAAAGAATCAGAAAAGATGAGCAACTGCGTTTGAACTGAATAACAAGTCGCAACTAAACAACTTATTACACATTTCATAGATTTGAAAATTGTATAAGGCAAATACAGAATCTAGTGCAAACCAATTAAATCAATATTTTGCAGCCAAATCAAGAAAAGTGTTACCGTGACGGAACCGATGACACAAATTAAGTACGACAACAGCAGCACAGCGTCTCAACGTCTATCGGCAGAATTGAAGACAAAGAAGGAAGGAAGGTGGTGGCCGGTGGTGGCCGGTGGTGTTTTCCGGCGACGGTTTGTTGGTGGTTGTGGGGAAACAGTGAGATGAGGGGTACGGTTTATTGATGTTTGTGAGTGGACATAAAGAACTACAGTAGCGGAGGGAGTATTAAGTGAAAAAGGGGGAGAAAATGGTATGTGCTGTCAAAAGTTTTGAAAACAAATCCGCCAAAATTCTCCTCTCTCTCCCTCTTTTTTCTTTCTTTTTATTTGAGATCTACTATTTTTATTTTTATCTATTATTAAAACATACCACCCTTCTTTTTACCTATTATTGAAAAAATTAATCGACACACAAATTCTAAAACATTTGCTAATAATTTTTAATTTAAAATTTAGAAAATAGTAAATATTTGAACAATACTCGTAATCTAACAACTATTAACTTCAAAATTTAAAGAAAGTAAAGTGTATAAACTTGATCAAAGACAATTAAATGCATTAAAAAATAACTTGAATAATAAAAAAAAAAATAGACTTTGTGGTGAAAAGATGAAATTTGAAGTATAGTATAATCAAACGTACATTTTTTTCAACGCACTCTTTTTCTCTACACGCAGATACTTTGAGTAATTTCATACTTTGTATAGATTTTGAACACATCGATCCTAACGCTAGAATCCTCTATTTATAATGATAAAAAATAACTTGCCCTAACGGTCTTCCTACAAACAAATGACAAGTGACACTCGACATGTCTCATTTCCTTAGAAAAGCTCCACGTGTCTCCTTCACAAATCTAGATAAGAACAAAAAATTCCCTTCTTTATTTGAATTCGAATCACATGTCGAAACAACGTCATCATCTTCTTTCGAACCACCTTCTAAAACTTTAAAATATTTTTCTTCACTTCTTATTCAGCATATCCTCCTTACGTGACAAGGTAGCTTCAACTGAAAATAAGTGTCACACTTTGTCAA